CAGGGTCGTGGATACCTGGGGAGGAGCCTGGAGGTCACATGACTGGGGAACCCGAAAGTGTCAGGGACCGTCACTGCGCTGGAGGAGGCAGTGCTTGGGTGCTCACTGGCTGCCATGCTGCACCAGGGCTCATGCACAATGCTGCTGGGTGAAGGAATCCTGGAACTCAGAAGCTCTCACCCTCCCAAGGGAAGGCAGGGCCAAGTGGGTGGAACTGAACTGATCTTAATTTTCTTTAGAGAAATTAAGAAATGTGGCAATTCCTGTGCTCTGGGGTAGTGGGGGTGATTCACATCCCATGTCCAGGCTTATTGTGTGTCATAGTTATTTTTTATTTGTTGCTGACACAAAATATCTGGTGCCCAAAGTTGGGAAAGGAAAGTCTTATTTTTTATAGTTTTTGGGGGTCTTAGTCTACTTTTAGCTCTAAGGCAAGGTGGCATGGTGAGGCTGCAGTTTAGTGTGACTGTAAACAGCAAGGTGGAAACTGGCAAGAGAGAGAGACACACCTTTTTTTTGCCATTACGTTGTCTGTTGGCTCCACCCCTATGTGGGTGTAGCACTGACACCATCAATCTAGGCTCTGGACAATGAATCAATCACAAGTGCATAATGCAAACTCATGAGGCATGGGGACCACCAACATAAGCCATGACATTTTACCCCTGGCCCCCGGGACTCGTGTACATCTTTTACATAAAAAACATTTTGTCTATCTCTAAGAGTTGCCAAAGCCTTAAGAGTTTTAGCATTGTTGAAAAGTCTAAGTCTCAAGTCTCTTTTAAGATCAATGGAAAACTCTTAACTGTAACCCCCTATATAAATGAAACAAGGTTAAACATTTCTGAAATGTAAAGACACAAGATAAACATTACCATTCCAAAAGTTACAAACAGGGGAATATAAAGCATTGGAAACAAAGCAAGTCTAACATCCAGCAGGGCGAACATTAAGTCTTAGCATTTTATACTCAGCATTTGATGTAATTTGGGTGTAAACTCTAAAAGGCTTGGGTGATTCCATCCCCATGGCACTTTTAGGGATATCAGCTCTTGCAGCTTTTTAAAAAAACCCTCTCTGCTCACCTTTTGCAGCTTTTTTTGGATTATCCACATTTTTGGCTTTAAACTTTTGGGATCTCTATTGCACCTTTGGCTTTATCATTTTATCTTTATAAATTGCCCTCTCTGGGGCACACTGTTTGGCCTCCCAGGCCCTTTGCAATCGAGGTGGAAGCTGTTTTACCCTCAGAATTTGTGCATTTTTTTGTACCTAAAATCAGCACCATGTGGATGACGCCAAGGTTTGCTGTCAGCTGGAGCAGTAGCCAGGTTTTTTTTTTTTTTTTTCTTTTTTTGCGTAGTGGTGGATTACCTGGATTGTTGGGCTCTGTGAACCTGATTGTGAAGAAAAGCTTTTTTACCTTGCCACCATTTTGGAACCTCATGTGGTCTCTGTTGCCATTTTGGAGCATGGTACTCTGTAGCTTTTTTTCTGAGCAAAGTTTTTTACTTTTACAGTTTGGAGGCTGCAAAGGGAAGGGACCCGCTGCTTGTTGGGATGCCCCTTGGCCATCATTTTTATCTGGTTTTTTTTTTTTTTTTTAGCTATCAAAGTGTCAGCTGTCTTTACAATCTACAGCTTTACTGGAGGTTTTTTTTTGTTTTTTTTTTTTTTTTGTTTGTTTGTTTTTCCAAACTACAGCATTGTAAATTATCTTGCTGGGCTTTTTGCTCCTGATTTGTAACATAAAGCTGGCTAAAAGCCCCCAACAATATCCATGTCACAGCCTCAACATTTGACTGCCTTGAAATTTTTTTTGCCAGATTAATTAGTCCATTGCCCTTAGTCTCAGGCTCAGGCAAAGTCTCTGGGCATGAACAAAATGCAGACAAACTTTCTTCCAAGCCATAACACACATTCTAGGGAGTCCAATAACCAATGTATTCCTTTTTTTTTTAAGCAGAAATCTCCCAAGCCTGGTCTTTATCATGAGGCTTTTTATCAGCGCTTTGGTCTTCTGAGCTCTGACCAGAATCCCCTCTATAGAACAGCCTAATCTGCTCCAGCTCTATGCACCCAAGCCACATGTCTGAACCTTTTAAAACTTTGCCCATGAGCTATTTTTAACATGGTCAGGTATAGTCACAGCAAAGGACCCCACTCCTGGTGCCAAATTCTGTCATAGTTATTTTTTACTCATCACTGAGACAAAATACCTGATGCCCAAAGTTGGGAAAGCAAAGTTTTATTTTTTTTTTAATAGTTTTTGGAGGTTTTAGTCTATTTTTAGTTGGATTGAAGGCGGGGTGGCATGGTGGGGCTGCAGTTTATGGTGGCTGTAAATGGCAAGGTGGAAACTGGCAAGAGAGAGAGACACACTTTTTTCTGCCATTACCTTGTATGTTGGCTCCACTCCTAGGTGGGCATAGCACTGACACCATCAATCTAGGCTCTGGACAATGAACCAATCACAAATGTATAATGCAAACACATGAGGCCTGGGGGGCCCCAAACATAAACCATGACATTGTGGTAGATGATCATCGAGGGAGGGTGCAGAATAGAAGCAGGTGTGTGGAGGAATGAGGATGCGTGGAAGACACCATGGAACAGAAGGTGCATGGGGGAAGGCGGGGCTGCAGCGATGGGTAGCAGGTGTTCAGGGAGCAACTTTAGCACCAGAAATCTTTTGAGTGTGAGGGTGTTAGATGCCAGAGTTTCCTCATCCTCCTCCAGAACTCTTGTCCAGGACACCTGGGTGAGTGGCTTCTCCAACCACCTTTCCTCATCAGCAATGGCTCACTGTTCAAAAAATGTACAGACATGAACTTTGTCCTACTGCTGACCTTAGCCCTAATTCTTCTCTCCATGACAACCACAGCTTTCAGCATCATGTGTGTCTTTCTGGAGATGCTTTTGGAGTATTTTTTTTCTTTAAACAGTAACCTACCTGCTGCTATTACTTTTGTCACTTAACAGTTTGCTTTGGATAGATGTAGTTCCAGCCCTTATTTATACTGCTCCTCAGTACTCCACTGTGGGAGTGTGTCATAATACCTAGACTCAGTTTCCTTTTGAGGAGTGTTGGTTTCTAGGCTAGCAGTGAAACAACAGTGGATGTCTTTGTGCGAGTGTGTTGGACAACCAGATTTGCAGAGGCAGCTGGAGGGGACATAGGAGCTTGAAGCATAAGGACTCACAGAGATTTCATCCTGGTGGTTAATATTAGGGAACTCTGGGGCTTATGCAGGCAAAGTGATGGAGAGTTGAGGTGACCCCAAAGAGATCTCAAGGGCCAACATTTAAGTTTTGTCCTTTGGCAGAATCCCAGCAATATGTGACCAACTTCCCTTGGTGTTTTTGCCTGAATGCCATAAGGAGGGAGACTTTTCTGTTTCTTGACCTGAAGTTTGGAGGAACCTGGACAAAGAGCAGTTACCTCTACTTTGGCTAAGCCTGGCCCTATTCTCCATGCACAGAACTGGCTGGGCCATTGTGTTTTTCCTTCAATTAGCTCTTAACAATGTAAACAGGGCTAGCTGATTGAAGCTAGGCAAGATAGTTGCTGTTTCCCAATCCCATGACTTCCATCAAAACATGGTTGAGCCCAGCGGGATGGCATAGCCACTGCTCTAGGACTGTCAACTGGATTTGAGCCTTAAGATAAGAGGCTATGATTTAGCTGTGTGGTGGTACACACATGCAAACTCACACTTGGGAGGCTAGGCAGCAGGATCAGGAGTTCAAGACCAGCCTGGGCTACAAAGTGAGCTCAAGGCCAGCCTGAACTGCATAGTGAGACACTATATCAGAAACAAAACAAAACAGAAGTATGACTTCTCAGAACAGAAAATGTTTGCACATCACAGCTGAAGCACCAGCCTTTTAAACTTTAATGTTATCTCAGTTGTGTTATGCAGATTGGTCTTTCTGCATATCTTTCTCTCTGTGTATTGCAGAAGTGCTTTCTGGCCTCCTACCTAGCCCAGCTCACAGTACTCATGTGTCTCCTGCCATTCTCACAGTCAGTCATCCTCAAACCAGTCCCTTTTTCATGAATTAATAAAAAAACTGGCTGGGCCCTGGGTCAAGGCCTTTGTTCCAATGAACCTTCAGCATGGCCAGACTAAGGACTCCTAATAATTATAAATATGTCTTAGTGTCTTTATTCTCACGGTGGGGTGCACTGGAAGTGGTAGATTAAAGTTAGCTTGCTAGAATTCCCGTAACTTTTCCATGGGTTTACAAATATAAGCTTCCTCAGCCATGATGAGGAAGGGAAAGGGCTCTCTATACTGAAGGCCCTCATAAAATCTCACTGAATCAAATATGCAGTTGTCCCTTGGAATCTGGTATCTGGTTCTAGGATCTGCTAGAAAACAACATCCTTGGATACACAATCTCTTCTGCAAAATGGCATGCTGTTTGCATAGTACCACGCATATCCTCCTGTGTAATTTAAATCATCTCTAAATCACGCATGACACCCAAGACAATGTCAATGCTGTTAGTGTTTTTGGTGTGATAAAAGAGCAAAATATAAAGTAAAAGTAGCCTTTATTCCAAGGACATGGAGAGGTGTCTATGACCATGGATGGACTAGCTTCCTCTGACTGGAATGTGGGGTATGAGAAATACATATGACCTCTGATCATGGGGTAGTGCTTAGGGTGGGCATTGATGACGCGTGAGGAGCTGATTGGAACTTGTTGTAATAGGGGAAGGAGGAAGTGATCTCAAGGTAAACATCCCTTGATTCTGCCTCCCCTGATTCAGCCTCCATAATATCGTGTAATTTATTCTAGGGCAAAACTCTTTCAAATGCTAGGCAAATAATTGTAATATTGCATTCGTTAAGAAACAATAAGGAAAAGTATGTCCATTTCTTAGTACAGATGCAATTTTTTTCTGAATATTTTTTATCCGTGATTGACTGAATTCATAAGTGTGAAAGTCACAGACACCAAAGGCTTACTGTAACATTTTTTTGTGACCAAATACATAACGCTTTTATTATTTTTTTCTCTGAATCTTCTGGTAGAAATGTGTAGTCCTTGGGCAGACCTTCTAGTCATTTCTGGGAATCAACAGAGGGCATTTTGCAAGCATTTAGAGGAAGTCCGTCCACTGACTATGTGGTGTCCTGAGTGAGTTTATCTTCCTCTCCACTCCCAGCCTATCTCTGCAGCCTGCTGCTGTTGAGCAGGGCTGAGCGAGGCTCCTCCTTTTGATAACACACCCAGGTCTGCCTGTAAGCACTGCTTCCCCAGGAACAGAGCCCCTGGCATTTGTTCCCTGCCATGTCCCCTGCTCCTCCTAACATTTCAGGGTGGAAACCTTCCAGCTTGATTGTTGGCTTTCATTTCCTCAGCACTGTGTCAATGTTCAAGGACTATGAAACCAAGGGCTTTCCACTTTTTCATAATCCAACAGCAAGCACAAATTCTCTGAGGACAAGTAAGTGGGTGGGTGCTGTGTAGACAGCTGCTAAATTTCCCAATAGGTGAGGTTTGAGAGGAGTGAAGGGTGTTGCCCCTCGATAACAACGCCATGACACACAGGGCTGCATTCTGATCCATGGGGACACTTCTGGCTGTTACTCATCTATAGTAATCCTGGCCCTTTTACTGAAGGAAAGAACAGTCAACTCCAAGACAAGAAGAGATCAGCAGTGAGGGAGGTTTGCGTTTAAAAAAAGTATCACCATTTTTGTTTCTTCTTCATTCGGTGGAGTTTTATGACACTGTGAGCAGAGGCAGTCGCTCCTGCTCAGCTGTTTTCAACTGTAGGGGGACAGAGGTTGGGCAGTGTTGGGGGACCCTTGGCCGGGTGTGCAGGGCTCCAGCTCAGCCAGCATTCATTCACCAGGGTGTAGTAGGGAGTAGCACAGTTGATTGGTGAGGCTGAAGCCATCTGAGGTGCTAACTTCTTTAAATATGCCTGGGTGTGTTCTGAAAGTCACTTGCAATTTTACACGGTCATTTGACATCTGGAAAATAAAAGAAAGGATTTGTTTTACAATTAAAGTCACTAAATGCAACACAGCAACACCCCACCCACTGGCTGGCAAGGTTGAGGAATGTAAGTCACTGAGTGGGAAGGAAGACAGCCCTGGAATTTGGGGCGATGGTCATGAGAGTTTTTCACTGAGCAGGGACTGGATTGAAGAGGTCCAGAAACACTCAGCGGTGTGGTGTGGTGAATGGGGGTGGTTCTGGCTGAGAACCAGCTGGTAAGCCCTGGAGGAAATCCCCATTGTCCCATGTTTGGTGATAACTCCGCCCCTTTTACTGAAAAGAGGATCAACTCCAAGATGAAGAAATCAGTTGGGAGGGAGGCATATGTTTGTGTGTGTGTGTGCACACGTGCGCTCAGACAATGAGACTGAAATCACACCTACACCATTTTGCCTTTGGTACCAGGGATCCAACTCGTGACCCTCTGCTTGCCGGGCAGGCGTTATGATGCTGAGTCATACCCCCGGCCGGCCGGTCCCTGCACTCTTGTTAGTTCCTGTAGCAGGGGTCCCGGAGGACAGGGTGTGGCAGTCAGCAGCTCCTCTTCAGCCCAGGCAGACCTAGTTCCTGTCCCTCAGCTGCTACTCTCTGGCTGTCTGAATTTAGGCAACTGACTTAATCTCTCTGGTCCCCAGGTCCTCCTGTAATGACATTAGAACCCTCAGAGGAGCAGCAAGGGGCAGATGACATAACACCCTGGTGTATTTTCTGCAGGGCTCAGTAATGTGACTTCCCCTGAAGCAGGGGAGCTTCCCTGAGTTCTGCTTCAGCTTGAGGAGAGGAGACAGCAACATCAAAGGTCAGGAGTAAGTTTGGGGAAGTACAAAGGGCAAGGAGCAGTAATAATGATCTTAAGGAGAAAACAAAATATCAGCAAAGTTTCTGAATCTGTTAAGCTTACTACCTATAATGTACTGTACTGTTATCAATCTTCTAGATGTTTAGCAACTGAAATTAAGAGGTAATTATAAATTTCTTTTGGATTCCTTTTGCTGGGAACCACCAGATCTTTTCCAAAAAAAGGGTATATGATGCATGCAAAACAATAAGACCAACACTGAGACAGAGGCCAGGCTTGAGCCTTTCCCAGTCTGTCCCCCTGCCCTGGCTCTGCCCTCTGCTGAGCCATAATTAACTGTACTCAACTGATGTTAAATGACACCATAGCTGATTTCTCTCCTAAATAAAAAAAAATAATAAAACAGGCCATCCTCCAAAAATCAGATGGCATTAGACGTTTTAATAACATAAAGAGATCTTATATATGACATAAATGACATGTCAGTTCCTAAAATTCCCTGGACCTTATCCTCCTTATGGGAAGCCATTACTAAAGTTATAAATACTCTGTTGAGAGGCTGGGGATTTAGCTCAGTGGCATAAGCCCCTGCCTTGCAATTGTGTGGTTGTGAGTTTGATCCCTGGTACTGATAAAAAACAAAAAGACAAAAAAATCCTGTTGATTGTATTGTTTGACTCCTGCATACTTAATTAATTCTACAGATACCTTCTACTATGGGCCAGATCCCAAGACAAAAGGCTAAACTTGGCCCTCAAACCCCATAGGGAGACCTTCTTAATATGTGTTTTCAACAACAGAGATAAAAATAACAATCTGATCTTTTAGCAGTGACACTTGGAGCTCTGAGACAGATAAACTGACACAAGATGGAGCTGCCTGAGCCCCCATGGACCATGCCTTGAATGCAGCAGGACACTGGGCAAGAGAGTGCCCCATCCTGGCGTTCCTTTGGGACCTTACCCCAGGGCTATTGGACTGTCCTAGCCACCAGAGAGTAGGTAAGCCATCCTAACTTCTAGCCCTCACAGGAAATGCCAACACTGCCAGATTCATCACTGACAGACCTGCTTAAACTTGCTGCTGAAGACTGACAGGACTTGGGGTCCACAGCCCCCATTAAGGTGTCCTTCTCAGAGTCTCAAGTCCCACTAGAAGTCTCAGGTAAGACATTCTCTATACTTGAGGACATAGAAACCATGTATAGAGTTCTTCCTGAGCTTTCAGGCTGCCATATTAAGTCCTCAGTCTCTATAGCGGGTATTGGTGGCCAACCTATGCAGCCTTTACAGACAGGGCCTATTTTGTGCAGGTTCCAGACTGCTTGTGTTTATGCAGACTGACCCAGACACTCTGAGGCCTCAACAGCTTACACCCGTTATCTTTAGTAAAACCTCTCCTCAGGGATATATAGCACCCCTTCCTTTCTTAGTCACCAATTTCTCAGACACAATCCTGATCAAGACTGACAGATAAATTTTATCTTCTCACCTTTGTTTATACTTTTTCAAGATAAATAAATGCCTTTCCCACAACCTGGGAGACTACTAAAATACTTACTAAACTCCTGTTACAGCAAATCATCCCAAGGACTACAATCAAGTTAGAGCAGCCCATACCTGGTCTTCTTGGCAACCTCAACAGTGGTTAAAGTTGCTAGACTGCCATCTTGGTTTCACATCACTCAGGCGAAGTGGTGCCCTTCCAGCCGTAGATCTAACCATCCTTTTGCCCGCTCATCTCCACCTCACCAAGGCCTCACAGCCACAACTCTCAGGCTGTCATGTTTTGCTATCTAATTTGGTTCCTAATTTCTTATCCTTTTTTACAGCAGGACTCTCCACAGTCTTTCTTAAAGATCCCACATCATACATGCCAGAGACAAGTCTTACCTACCTACTCTCTTAACTTTTACCCTTTAAGATGGGGGAATAATCACCTCTCATAACCCCACACTTATTTTTCAGAATTGTACCTTATGGTGGCAATGATTCTATCTCAACGTGGTCCTGATAAAATGACATATCCAAATCAAAGGCACCTTTCCTTCTACCTCACCTAGATCCTTAAATATGATAGTGCCATTTCTCCTCATAACACCTTGTCTCTTTATTTTTCCAGTCTAACCTGTGGGCATTCACCAGTGATAAAGTTGTCCTTGTTAAAACACCTAGCACCAGCTTCTACATGGGCATTAACCGTCATCCTGTCAATACTCCTAAACCCCAGTACAGCGCCTCCTTTCAGCAGGAAGCAGAAAGAAAGAAAGAAAGAAAGAAAGAAAGAAAGAAAATCTTCACCCTTTTTCCTAATAATAAAAAGATGGCAGCGAAAGGATTTTGTCCCCTGGATGGGAAGCTGCAGCGGTGGGAGGCTGGGAGGCGGAACCAAGAGGCTCTATTTGAGGTCACCTTTCCTGCCCCTAAGCAATTTACTTGTGGTGCGAAATGAATTCCATTGGGCTACCTGTGCATCAATAATGCCCCTTAGGCTCCACCCCAAACCTAAGCTACATGTATGCCCCCACACCATGTGTCCAGCAGAGAGAAAGCCAGACCTCGGAGGTCATGGAGTCTCTCTCCACATTCTTAAAATAAAGGCCACTTTTAATTCATACTTATCTTTTTAGCCACACCGAAAATTCTATCAGAATCTTGGAATAATTCCCAGTCCGCAGTGAATCTCTAGGTCTAATAAGGAAGAAAATCCTGTTTTTTTGTTTCCAAGTGTTGCAGAGGTAACTGGACACATGCCTTGTGCTTCACTAGAATTAGAAGAAGAGAAAACTCCCAGGAAGCAGCACAGAGAGGGGGGAAAAAAGAGGCTGGTACTTTGGGGCTGGTGTGTGTTAGAATTTTCTGGTGCAATAGAGAAACAAAAAGTTCAAAACAAAAAGAACAGGTTTATTGAGGACATGGAAAGGAGCACACAACCCTTGGTGGTTAGTCTGTCTCTTTCTACCAGATACAGAGAGGCAGAGAGTTATATGATCTCTGATTTGAAGTGGTGCATGGGGTGGATATTGACGACCTGTGAGGAACTGATTGGAATTCTCTGTGTGTGAAAACAGGAAAGAGAGTTGCAATTAGGGCTAAAGAAGAAGGAGGAAGTGATAAGCATTTCTGCTTTGGCTCTCTGCCATATTAGACCACTGCCATAGTTGTACAGTAATTTATACTAGGGCATCAACCTTTCATTCCCATCTTTGTATTGTTACAAAAAGGGCAAAGATTGTCTCTTAGTACTTCCTGCTCGATGAGGGCATCCTGTTGGGGTCCAGGAGGTTGATGGGATGATGGTTGATGCCCGTGTAGAGACTGGTACCAGGTGTTTCAGCCAGGACAAGGAGTTTTTTGTTGGTGAACGATCACATCCTAGATTGGAAAAATAAAGAAACACAAGGTGCTTTGAGGAGGCAGGTCACTATCATAATTAAAGGACCCAGGAAAGGTAGAAGAAAAGCTACTGTTGATCTGAATGTGTCATTCCATCAGGGCCATGGTGAGAATGAATCTGAAAAGTAAGCATGGAGCTAGAAGTGGTGAAATTAAAAGAGGTCATTATTCCCCCAACTGTTTTTTTTTTTTTTTTTTTTTTTTGTCTTTTTCTTTTTATCAGTATCGGGGATCGAATTCACAACCACACATTTGTAAGACAGGCGCTTATGCTGCTGAGCTAAATCCCCAGCCCCATTCCCCCATCTGAAAGGGTAAAAGTGTAGGTAGGATTTGTCCTTGGCCCAGGAATTGAGCTGGAGAGAATGTGAGGCATGAGAAATGTAAGCGCTGACAGTTGAATCATGTTTGGGAAATTATAAACTAAGGGTGGGTAGGGCTGTGGCTGCGTCGCTATAAGTGAGATGAGACTCTAGATCAGAAGGGTCTCATGTTTAGAATGTAAGAGATTAGGAGCCACAAAGGATAACAAAACATGATCTAGCCTGAAAATTGTGACCGTGGGACCTTGGTGAGATGGAGATGGAAGATAGGAGATGTGTGAGCACTCGTGATGTTTAGAGTCAGGGGAGTCAGGGTTAGGAGGGCACCGCTCAGCTTGAGTGATGTGGAACCAGGATGGCAGTCCAGCAACGCTGACCGCCATTGAACTTCCGAGGAAGACCAGTAGGGGCCACTCCATTTTAGCTGTAGTCCTGTTGAGGGATCTGAGAAATAAAGATTAGGCCATTATCTGACTGGATACTCTGAGGTAGACCAAACTTTGGAATTATTTTTTGAAATAGGACTTTAGTAACTACGTCAGCAGTCTCCCTGGTTGTGGGAGAGGCTTTTCTCCATCCTATAAAAGTACAGACAAAGGTGAGAAGATATTTGAAAGTTTTGTGATGGAGCATGTTTGTAAAATCTACCTGCCAGTCTTGACTCGCAGGTAGGTGTGTCCACAAAATTGATGCATAGGAAAGGAAGGGGTGGTATGTGTCCCTCAGGAGAGGTTCTAACCTGATATGACAGGTGTGAGTAAGTTGTTGAGATCTGGGGGTGTCTGGGTCAGTCTACATAAATGCAAAGGAATCCTGACAATCAGGGTGTAAGGGGATGGTAAAGAAGGCATCTTTAAGATCTAGGACTATGAAGTGAGTGGCAGAGGGAGGGATATGAGAGAGCATGGTAAAAGAGTTTGGCACCACTGGGTGAATTGGGGTAACAGTGTCAGTCAGTGATTACTCTAAGGTCTTGTACCAGATGATAGGACCCATTAGACTTGAGTATGGGAGAATGGGACTATTGTAGAGTGAATGGGTAGGTTAAGAAAACCATTGTCTAAAAGATGCTTGATTATATGTTTAAGTCCCTGTAAATGTTTGGGAGCTATAGAGTATTGGGTAATGCAAGGCAAAATTGAAGGATCCCTGAGACAAATTAAAACAGGCATAGCATGGGTAGGGTGGGCAGGGTTGGAGGTGTCTCAAACTATGGGATCAACCAAGGAAGAAGGGAAAGGAGTGGATGGCTTTATGGCACACTGTGATGGTGTTTGGAGGATGAGAGCTGTGGGGAGGGAGAAGGTAAAGGAAAAGTTAAGCTTTTGGAGAAGATTCCTACCTAAAAGAGGTGTGGGACATGTTGGAATTACCAGAAAGCTATGGATGAAGAAGAGTTTGGAACCTGCATGCAATGGGCCCTGTTTGAAGAGACTGTGTTCGTTGGCTATCAACACCCACTACAGAGACTGAGGACTTAACACAATGCCTGAGAACTCAGGAATAACACTATAAATGGCCTCCATGTTTACAAGTACAGAGAATGTCTTACCTGAGACCTCCAATGAGACTTAAGGCTCTGAGAGGCGTACCTTAATGGGGTCTGTGGCCCCCGAGCCCCATCAATCTTCAGCAGCAAGTCTGAGTAGATCAGCCAATGACAAATCTGGTGGTGATGAGATCTCCTGTGAGGGCAAGGAATTAGAGGATGGCTTACCTGCTCTCTGGTGGCTGGACAGTCACTCTTCCAATGGCCCTTGAGGTTGCAAAGGAGGCACTCTCTTGCCCAGCATCCTTTTTGTCACTTGCAGCATGGTCCAGGAGGGGCTTGGGCAGCTCACCTTGTCATGGTTTACTTGTCTTAGAGCTCCAACTACCACTGCTAAAAGATCAGATTTTTATTTTTCCTCTGAGTTTTATCTCTGTTGTTGAAAACATGAAAAGCCATATTAAGAAGGTCTTCCTGTGGGGTTTGAGGGCCAAGTTTAGCCTTTTGTCTTGGGATCTGGCCCACAGCAGGAGGATCTGTCTCCTCAAGGGTCATAAGACACCTGTCCCCTGTGTTGGTTCCTTTGAGGCCCTAACCCTGTCTGACTGCCTATAATATTTTTAACTGACTCAGCTGCCTGTAGCATTTTTCCCTCTAAAGGAGTAACCCAAACTGCCATGAAGGGTAATGGGCAATGACAGATCTGGCTTCTTTAGACTGAAGGGGGTTGAAGCTGTCAAATAGCAGTCAGGGATACTCTGCAGAGCTTTTAATTAGTGGCTCTCAGTAGATAGCAGACATTTTATCTTGGGTAGGTGTACAGCCTTAAGTCTAGAGGAGACAAAGGCAATGAATCAGTTAAGTATGCAGGGGCCAAATAATAGAATCAACAGGGTATCTATGAGTATAATTCTGTTAATGGCTTCCCACAAGGAGGATAAAGATAAGGTCCAGGGAATTTTAGAAACTGGCATATCATTCACACATTTAGCTTTTACAATTATATAAGTATTTACTATGCTGTTAGAATATCTACTGCCATCTGATTTTGGAGGATGGCCTGTTTTATTAATTTTACCTTTTTTATTTAGGAGAGAGATCAGCTGTGGTGCCATTTAAGCCTCAATTGTGGTTAATTATAGCCTCAATATGCATCATATATCCTTTTTCTGGAAAAGATCTGGTGGAGGTCAGTAAAAGGAATCTAAAAGGAATTTATAATTATCTCTTAATTTTACTTGTTCAGAAGAAAAGATTGATAACAGTACAGTGTAGTAGAGGCAGTAAGCTTAACATAGAACATTAAATTGGAACTGTTATTTTCTATTAGCCATGGGTGTTTCAACATTTGAGATGACATTTTGTAACCCATGTCCTTTAATAGGATGTCACTGAAGAAATTTGAGACATTGTTTGGGCTGCTCAATATTTAAGCATCTCTAAGTGTAGTGGCACATACATAACATATACATTACATAAGCTTTTGTTTAAAAATTACTGTTTGACTGATGACTTCACGTTGTTTGACTTGAATCTTTTGGCTGGAGCACAAGAAAAATGCAGATGTCTGGATCTGAAAGAGAATGTTTATCATCAAAAATAATCCCAATTTTATATATGAAGGCATGAATATACCATATGATCAGCAGCACTGAATTGTCTTAGCCATATGAACTTTAGTTGGGGTGTCTCCTATAAGGCTATGGAGATTATTGGGACCTCTAATTAATAAGAGATGGATAAGAAAGTGGCCAGTTTCTTATTCATTAATTGAAGTCTTGTCCAATCTCTCCTCACCGCAAGGGATTTTGTTTAACCAGTTTTAGCATCATTTTGACCAGCTGGCAACCTTAGGTGGAAGCATGATTTTTAGATCTATACCCCAAATAAACCTGGATTAAATGATCTGAAAACACAATAAAATTAAAGGGGAAAGACTGTTGAGCTCAAAAAAGGAACAGCTGTTTACAGAGCAGACAAATAGACTAACATGAGAGATGATCTGCATAGTTTAAACTGGACAAACAGAAAACAGATGTATATCTGTTCAGACAGACTGACAAACATCTTATGAAATCAGAGTACACTCAAATATATTTGGCCAATTTGGACTATAATAAATAAACCAGTGTGAACATTTTTGTAGGTTAATTAATAGAGATATCTTGAAATAAAAATAGCAGAAAAGGCACTTAATTTATGATTACTCTGATGTAGGTCAGTGAGGGAAAAAGGAAGATGAATATGAATTGGTCCTTCAGGGCCAGCCTATTTCCAAAGGGAGGGCAGGGACAGATGCTGACAGGCTGTGCAGTGGGAGGCCACTGAGCAGGCATTTGTGGGCAGTTACCAGGTGATCCACCACACAATGGTCACTCACCACCATGCAAGAGGGAAGCCCAAGATGGCAACTGGTCATCATGAGACAACAAGATGGCTGCTGCTGATCCCACAACGAGGGACCACAAGATGGTGGCCGTTTATTCTGTTACCTGTCATAAGATGGTGGCACTCTGTCACATGGCAGAGGACCATAAGATGGTGGCTGTCCTCCATGTGAGCCACAGCAAGATGGCTGCTGAGGACCATGTGGTATGGAATTGCAAGATGATGTTTGAATACCATGTGGCCTGCTAGATGGCTGAAACACATGAGATCGAGTAGGGTGAGGTGGCGATGTAAGAACAGAGGGGAAAAGAGAAGAGGGCCCATCTGATGGGATGGACAGCTCAGATGGAGGATTCATAGGTTGGAGAGAGGAAGTAAAGGAAGAGTTAGAGACTGCTGGGGTGAGGAAAGGGAAGAGAATGAAACGGGGGGCTCAGAGACCTGTGGTTGAAAAGGCCGAGGGGATATGAGAGGGGGGAGTAAAAACAGGTGGTGAATCATCTAGCAGTGTGGTGGGCAGGAGGGGAGAGATCCTGGGGGAGCAGAGTGAGTCAGAATGTCTGGGCTACTATACAAGACAGACGGAGAGAAGGACAGGACCTCAAAGTGAAAAAGTCCTAAAAATAAAGGGGTTTCTGCCAACCTGCCACCATTGTACCAAAAGTATAAATAAAAGGTCAGCTTTTTGGTTTTTATAGCCTTCTTAAGGCCAAGAGCACCAAGGTTATGAACCAGGCACCTAGAGGTGTTTCTCAGGGGACAGGAAGTGGTCCCCAGGACCTAATTATAAGTGAGCTGAGAGAACAAGTTTGCCTCAGGACATAAGAGCTTTAGTTCCTCAAAGCTGTCCTAGATCCACCTATCAAAAGAAGTCCTCACCTGTTTTGAAGGTGTGACACGGAAGGTCCCAACACCCATTCTCATTGGCCATTACCAAGAATGCGGGTGGGATCCTAGAGAATAAGAGGTAACAGTTTTGCCAATGCTATCTCTGTCCAAGGGTGTAATGGACAGGTTTTCTGATGCAATTTTGTGAATTTTAGGAACAGAAACAGAAAACCTCAGACAGCAGCTCACCTGTGATGACTGAGGAGTGTTGGTTGGTGTTGCATGCAGATTAGAGTTGGCAAATAAACGGGTCCCAGAGGAAGGAAAGGTGGTTCGTAGGCAGGGGAGCTTGACTAGGAGTGACTCCCAGGAGCTAGCATGCTCTGCCATCCGAGTCTCAAAGCACCGAAATGTTAGTTTTCTGGTGCAATATAGAAGCAAAAGTATAAGACAAAAAAAAAAAAAAATAGGTTTATTGAGGATGTGGAAAGGAGCATACAACCCTTCAACCAGATAGAGAGGAAGGTTATATGATCTCTGATCAGAAGCCGCACACGGGTCGGATATTAATGACCTGTGAGGAGCTGACTGGAATTCTCTGTGTGTGCAAACAGGAAGGAGAGTTGCAATTAGGGCTGAAGAAGAAGCAGGAAGTGGTGAGCATTTCCGCTTTGGCCTTCTGCCATGTTAGACCACCGCCATAACTGTATACCAGGGCAAAAATCTTTCAGTGGGGAAGGAAGAAAATTAGATGGTGACAGGCCATGGCTCCTAACGTGGCCCAGGGACTTGCCTTGTGGTGCTTCCCAAGACAGTAGTTCATCTGCCCAGTACTGACCGCAACACACACTCGATCTGTGGTTCACTGCAAGGAAGCATTTGTTTAATACACACACGTTTCCTGGCGGGAGACTGTCCCTCTGCAGCTCTCAGCCCTTGGCTTTAGTTCCATCTTTTAAGACTCAGGTCTACCAGGAGATAAACTCTGGTGAGCTCCTGATTCCATGCCTCGGGCAGGCGGGTGATGCAGGCCGGCTGAGCGGAATCAAAGCAAGGAGTCCACAAGGTGGGCACTGGTGCTTCAAGCTGAGATGCAGTTCCCAATACCTGGGCTCCTGGGCCAGAGCTGATCTCGTAGGAGGGCTCTGAGTTTTCTGCTTGCAGCTCTTGAGGTTTGGCCTTCTGCTAGAAAGTCTGAGTGAAGTGTGTAGCCTGTGCCCAACAAAGCAGAGATGAGGAGAAATGGCTCCTGGCCCTACACCTGTGCCTCCTCCTGCTGGGCAGGTCCTGCCCCTGAGCTTTGCCTTGCCTGGCTTGTAAACTCCCCCTGTGCTTCTGTTTTAGGGTGGCTTCTTTTACCCAAGTATAGCAGCAAACTTGGGGATACCCTCTGCTCCCTCTTCACCAATAGAGTGGAGAAGCAATGGCATCCTTCTCCTTGAGACTTTAATATAGATTCCCCCCCCCCCCATCCCAGGCTTGTCTGAAGCTCACAATGATCCTCCTGGCTCAGCCTCCTGAATGCTAGGGTTGCAGGCACGCACCACCACCTGGGCTAGTCAATACCTCTTTTTAAGAATCAGCCTCTGTGTGGATCATTAGCTTGCCCCACTTGTGGGCTTGACTCTAGTCAAAGCTCTTGAAGCTGGTGTTCAGTTAATTTCACAGTTTTTAAAATAAGGAGGGAACAAGTTAATGAGATGTAACATTTTATAAAGAGACGGGAGTTATATGTGACTGGGTGTCCAGCAGTGTTACTCACCGCTACGCCTGGATTGGAAGCTCCACGACAGAGTCCTGCTTTTTCCTTACTGGCACTTTAAGAATGGTAGTCAATAGCTCCAAATGAAGGGGAAGAAATTAAATTGCCTGGACAAACTTTTCAAGTTTTATCAGTATTGTTTGGGGTTTAATAAGTGTTGAATAGGTGTCGCACATTCTTTTTTCTAGTAAGAGAATATATTTCTCTAAATAAAACCAGCGGAGCAAATGTACACTGTCCTTGGGTCCACGGGGGTGGTAAACGGGCTTTTCTACTCCAGGAAGAGATGTGTTTTCTTGTTTCCAAGGCTTCAACCTGTTCTTCAGCAAGTCCAAAATGTTCCCTACATTTACTCCTAGGATTCAAGTGATGTGTGACCTGGGAAAGTTCCCCAAATGCTTTAACATCTCAGCTGTAACCTGAGCAGTTTGGACGGTATCAGTGGCTTTGACTTCGGTGGTGGGGGGAGGAGTAGGATTCTCTGTTCAAACAAAGCTTACACAAATCCCCGATAAAGTAAATCATCAAACCGATCCCAGCCGGGTGTTCTCCCCGGCATTTTCCAGTTGCAGACACCTAGCACCTGCTCTTCCTTAAGCTTTTGAATAGCTTGGTTCTTGCAAAGGGCTTTCTTTCCTGAGCTGCTGCTGAGGCCTCCTGAGTGTGCCACACCCCTTGGCCTGTGGCCGCCAACCGATTTAGCTGCAGAGAGGTTCACTGGGGCTTAGAACCCCCGTGGGTTTCTCTGGGAAGTGGCTCAGAGCTTAACTGGGAAACAGAATGTAGCCCCAGGCAGTGCAGACCCAGGCCCTGTGCGTGGTCCTCCTACAAATCGCCTCTTCCATGGTCGCTGGAGGTCTGGGAAGCTGTCCCCTGACTCATGCGTTCTAGGGTTAGTGTCACTGGGGGAGGGAAGCCTGGGCCTTTGTTAGTACCTCACCTGCCTTCGTGAGTTCCTTGCCTCTGCAGGCAGAGCTCTCTTTCCCTGAACAGTGTGTCCTTCCACCGTCACCTTCACTCTGGGGCCCTGTGAACCTCCTGGGTCGTAGGGAGATGGTTCACGCAGGATGCCACCCTCCAAGGCTGGCCTCATACGTTGCCTAGAACTTTGTGAACAAGTTCCGAGGCGCAAGTATCGACGGGGTTGGCGCTCCACCTAGTGGCAACAGACAGTAGTGCATGGGATAAATGCGTTAACTTTTCCTTGAAGGATAAATAAATGAATTAATAGTAAAGAAAGCCGCGTTTGGGCGTCTCCTGTCAGTAAAACTGACTGCTTTTAAGTATGCTTCAGAGAAAAAGTAAACTGGATATGAGTTTTGCTTATTAATGATTCCCAAGAAATGCCACTGTCATTATACTGAACACTCATGATTAAATTTCTCAATGATAAGAATCTCCCCACCAGTCTGTTAACGTTATCACCTACAAAAGAAATCAGGAGAAATGATGCGGCCAGTTAAGAGGACACTCACTGCTGAAAAGCAGCTCAGACTGTCAGACTATATCTTCTGAAACATGGAAGATTGATGTTGTGAAAAATCCAGTCCTAGGCTTAGCATTGTCTTAGCCCGGGAACTTGGTTTCTTATAAAATCTTGCTCTGCTGCTCCTTTTTAGATTTATAACCTTGACAGTCGGCAGCAGGGGAAATCATGAAGCTGTACGCGTTATATTTAGATTCAGTAGACACCCGAGATGTAACTTATGCTGTGGATCTACGGAGTTTTTCAACACACGTTCTAAGGTAGCTAGCATTAAAAAAATGACCTCGGAGGCAATGGTGCTAGCATGGACGGGGCCAACCTGAGGCTGTTTTGCAGCTGTCTTTGTATCAGTTTATCCTTGACAATGGTATCACATTGCTTTGGGTTCTGCTCAATTGTAACTAAAGCCTGCTTTCCATGAGAGTTTCTTGGATGATGGCTTTTTCGAAACATTAAATTCTCCTAAAATATGAGAAGACACAGATCTCACATAAGTCACCATCCCTCGCTAACTCTAGGGGACACTTTACTTTTGAGGGGCTCACAGCGATCACTTTCTAATGGTCTGAAGAGGGAAAGATGAGCAAGCGGGTGGGTTAATATCCAATTAGGAAACGTCTCTATAATTTCCAACAGAAAAGTTTCAAAGGGAAGTTGAGGGCCAGAGTAGGATGAGGAAGGCCGGGAGGTGCAGCTCAGCAGCACAGAGCCTGCCTGCAAGCGCGAGGTCATGAGTTCGATTCCCGAGTTTGATTCCCAGCACACACACACACACACACACACACACACACACACACATGCAGCAGGATGGGTGATCGTGAAGAGAATGTGAGTCTTTACAAAGAGGACCGCCTTCGGGATGGTTTGGGCGCAGCCCAGATGATGGTGGAGAGGCAGACTCGATTCCTATGAAGAAAGAAGAGGTAACAATAAATTTGCAGAGCAGTTTACAAAAGTTAAACTGAACGCTTGACTAGTGACAACATAGCCCTCAATCATGTGCTCACTTAAGTGAAATGAGAATACTGGTATAATTTTAATACCCTGAATTATTTCAAGGAAGCAGCACATATCAGTGGTTGGTTTTACATCGGTGCTTGCTGGCTGAGAATAGGTGTTAGGAATGTGTGGTCTCAGCCCCAAGTTTAAATTCTATTTTGATGCTGAGCAAATTACATAAGATCTCTGTGCCACAGGGTGCAGGTAAAGCAACTGTGACGATCTTTGCGCTCCCTTGAAAGAATGTCATAAGGAAGGCAGGAAGAGTTTCTGCTTACAGCAGCCGTTCTAAAGAAAGAGCACAACTGACTGCTGTGTTACATTTTATTTTATTTCTTTTGTCTTTTTCAGACAGAGTCTGCTATGCAGTTCAGGCTGGTCTTGGACTCACTTGGTAGCCAAGGCTGGCCTCAAATTCACAACAATCCTCCTGTCTCAGCCTCCCGCGTGCTGGGTTTGCGGGCGTGAGCCACGCCACCTGGCTGCTATCACCTTTCTTAAATCCGGCAGATGTGGATAAAGGACCAGGAACTTGCTGTGACCTGGGCTGATGGTGTGAGCGAACATTCTCTCCTGAGCAGTGAGCAGTGGGCTTTGTTTTAACCAAAGGTGGTTAGGTCTGCAGACTCGTTGCATCCTGTCTTTAATCCTTAGTTAGGGATTAACCACATGCACCTTGCTCGGCTAGTACTCTCACGACTCTTACTTTTCCCTGCCAGAGAGCTGTTGCTTAACTTGGTGAACTTCTTCACTAGTTTGTGGTGCTGTGTGTGGCAAGTCTGTAGACTCTAGACTAAGCTTTTAATATTTACTTTTGTGGTAATAGGAATTGAACCCTGGGCCTTTGCCCTGAGCTACACCCTAGCCCTGTTTTATTTTTACTTACGTAATTTATTTTTGGAGATAGCACCTTGCTTTGTAGTTCAGGCCGGCCTTAAACTGACTGTGTAGCCTGGTCGGGCCTTGAACTCACATGATCCTCCTACTGCAGCCTTCCAGGATCCAGGCTAACCTTACTGTGCCTGCCCTCCTTTCTTTTTAGTATTTTTTATTTTTGAGACAAGTTCTTGCTAAATTGTCCAGATTAGACTGGACCTTGCAGTTTTCCTGCCTCAGCCTCTCAGAGTGCTAGGATTACAGGTATGAGCTGCCCCAAGCTTTTAATCTATGTGTGTACCTCGTCTGTTATCCTCTGCCTATCCATCCATTCATCCACCATCCCATTGCTTTCATTTATTTATTAACTTTGTTGTTTATTAACTTTATTTGTTGACAGACTAAATAAATTAATTATGCAAGTAATTTAGAGTAGTGGTTTGCTAAGGTAAA